TGCAGAGGCAGAAGCTTCGAAACACCACGCGACTCCTCCCTACCCCTTTAAACTTAAAAGGGACCCTTGATCCTCTTCCCCAATACAACCCTCGTGTACACCTTATCGTCCCCATATGGTGGCTTCCGACACTGGGGGTACCTCATTGGGGTCCGTGTTTTCAGGGAAATCCTACTCTTTCGGGGTCCTCTACTTTCGGAAACCCCCATATACCGAAGTAGCCCCCAGATTTCCCTTAGGTCCGTCATAGGGGTCCCCCTTGATTTAAGCAGAAGCAAGGCGTGGCGTTGTCCAAACAAAACAACGCAGACGACAGACTTAAGGACCCCTAGAAGTGACCCGTAGTCTTCTTCCCCTATACAATGTATACCTTATACAGTCCCTCTGTCCCTAAGTAGCCCTAAATAAGACTAAGTAGCCCTAAATAAGACCCAAAGAACCCCTAAGGTCCCTTATAAGGGTCCCTTATAAGGGTCCCTCCTTTCGTTCCTTGAATAGACGCGCACAAGCCCCAAAGTCGCCACAAGTAGGCTTTAAAAGGTTGAAGCTGTTTTGGCGTTCAAAGGTTGAGGGTCTTTGCTCCAGATGTCTCCAAACCCAACCCCCCTAAGCCTCCAAGCATGTTGCCCTTGCCAAGCAACGAAACAACAAGAACGAGAGGAAGCGTCCTATCTGGGCTGAACAATGTCAGCCCAAACAACCTGATTATACCAGGTAGTGGATCATAAACGCTCTGAAAGCTGCACCCTACTACCCAGGACCTTGAAACCCTACACCGTGTTCCCGAAATCCCTAGCCCTTTTTTCAACTCAATCCCAAACCCTTAAGCCTGCCCTAAGCCCCCCCGCTACCCCTGAGCCCTGAACCTAAGGCCCTAAACCCTAAACCCGAAACCCAAAACCCTAAACTCCCGATGCCTTGGGGTTCTGCCAGTGTCGCGCCGCCAGCGCCGCCGCACGGCTGAGGCGCTCCGCTGCCCAGGCGAAGTTGCCCTTGCGGCCTGAGGGCTAGGGCTTGCAGGGTTTGGAGGGTTTGCAGGGCTTATGAAGGGTTTAAGGGGGTTTGAGGTTTAGGGTTTGGGGTTCAGGGTTTAAGGTATAGCGTAAGGGTTTCGTGTAAGGGCTTATAGAGTTTATAGGGTTTGCAGCGTTCATAGGGTTCATAGGGTTTAGGGTTGGGGGTTCAGGGTTTGGGGTTGAGGCTAGGGTGAAGGGTTTAGGGTTTGGGGGTTTTAGGGTTCAGGGTTTAGGGTTAGGGTTTAGGGTTTAGGGTTTAGGGTTTAGGGTTTAGGGTTTAGGGTTTAGGGTTTATGGTTTCGGGTTTAGGGTTTAGGGTTTAGGGTTTAGGGTTTAGGGTTTAGGGTTTAGGGTTTAGGGTTTAGGGTTTAGGGTTTAGGGTTTAGGGTTTAGGGTTTAGGGTTTAGGGTTTAGGGTTTAGGGAGGGCTTAGGGCTTAGGGCTTAGGGCTTAGGGCTTAGGGCTTAGGGCCTAGGGCTTAGGGTTTAGGGCATAAGGGCTTAGGGTTGTCGATGTGTTTGTGGGGTTACAGAGTTTAAAGGGTTTTAAGGTATATGGGGAGTTTACAGGGTTTATAGGGTTTATGGGGTTTATAGGGTTAGGGTTTAGGGCTTCGGGTTGTTTAGGTGCTTGGGAGATAAAGTTTTACCAATGCGGCCTGGGTGCTCATAGGGCTTAAAAGGGTTTGTGAGTGTATCGGGTTTATAGAGTTTACAGACTTTACAGAGTTTTGCAGGGTTTATATGTACATATATAAGTTGTGGGTCTTATAGGGATTTAGGGCTCAGGGCTGAGGGTTTAGGGACAGCGTTTTTGCTCAGGGATTGAGGCCTGTGGGGCTTTGGCATTGAGGGTTTCGGGGTTTAAGGCTTCAGGGTTCAGTGGCTAGGCATGGATGGAATTGCAAACCCGGGCTGCAACGATGCTAAGGTTGCGGGCCTAAACCCTGGACCCTAGGTCCCTCAACCGCTGAACACAGAAACACCTGAACCCTTAAACCCTGAACCCTTAAACCCTGAACCCTTAACACCCCTAAGACCTGGTCCTGATAGGGCAGATGCTCCCTCAACCCGATACCCTAAAGAGGTTTAAGGCTTTGTGTAACCCGTACCTCCAAAGTCATGAGTCCTTTAACCCTAAAGCCCAAGCGAGGGCTTAGGCCTGTTTAGGCTTTAAGGTTCAGGATCTAGGGTTTAGGGGGTTAGGACATGAAGCTCAAAATTTAGGGCTTAGTCTGAGTTTCATGGCTTAAGGACCAGCAAAGAACTCAACCCTGTGACTCGAGTGGAGGATGGGAGTTCCACCCTGGGCTTGGCTCCAAGCACAGATGGTCTTTAGGGCGTTCTTGACTTCTACCAGGCTGTTGCGTAGGATTATTTTGGCCCCAACCCGAAACCCTAAACCCTACAAACAGTCTATGAAGGTTTCGGGTTTAGGGTGTAGGGTTTAGGGGGGTTTCACAGAATCCCTTGCTCTGGCCACGGCCTGCAGACACGACGAAGTTGTTCTGCATGGGCCGAGGGCCGTTGCCTGGGCCTGTCTGGCATTCTAGGGCATGGGGGCTTCGCTGCCTTGAACACTGAATGCAAGGGCCACCGTAATTAATCCACAAAAGCCAGACAACATACATATATATATATATATGTATACACACGCACATCTAATCTTTTTTAGATCATCTGTACTAGTATGTACTCATATGTTATTCATACGAATACTCAGAGTCATATTACTCTGACTACTGTAATTTGATGTAATTGTTAAGATGTAGATATATATATATGTATATATATATGACTAACTGAGAACGTAGTGGTCTGTGCCACACTTCGAAACGGCACTTCAAGAAACAACTTAAAGCAAACTCCCAAGCCTGCAGCCTCAACCTGACCTGAAGCGAATACAGCAACAGCGGAAGGCTTCGGTAAGCCTTAACCCCTGAAAGGGTATAAGGAGGGTCCCCTAGAAGGAACTCTTACTGTAATCTTATTCCCCTAAATTAACCCATATATAACCCCCATAAACCCTAATTCCTAAACCCTAATTCCTAGACCCTACACCCCCTGGAGCCCGAACCCCCTGTCCACCCAAAGCTTCGCCTGCGGGCAGCCGGGAGCGCGGACGCGGACATGGCTCTGCCGTCCGCCTCCGCGTGGGCTGGGCTCAGAGGAGTGATATAGGGGCCTTAGAAGAGGGTTTAGGGTTTAGGGTTTAGGGTTTAGGGTTTAGGGGGATGAGGATGAAAATCAAATTCAAAAAAGAATTAAATTCGAATTTAATTCATTCTGGACGGGCAGCCCACCCCCCGCAGGCCGAAGGATTCAATTCGAATTTAATTCCTGAAATGAAGCCTCGTAGCACAGCACTTAAGCTTAAAATTGAATTTAATCCTCCTTCCTGCCGGAAGGATTAAATTCAAATTTAAGCTGCCTCATAGTTCGACGAGGTTGCACGGTCACTCGCACTTCGGTTTTCGCACGCTCGACCCGCAGCAACGGAAGCTTCAGCAACTCAACCCGCAAAACCTCTCAACCTCAAAGAGAAATCTCTTCCTGTTTCAGGGTTTTGGGTTCAGGGTTTCAGGGTTTTGGGTTCAGGGTTTGAGGGCTTTGGGGTTCAGGGTTTGTTTTGGGTTGAGGGTTTGAGGGCTTTGGGTTGAGGGTTTGAGGGCTTTGGGGTTCAGGGTTTAAAGGTTTTTGGGTTCAGGGTTTGAGGGCTTTGGGTTGAGGGTTTGAGGGCTTTGGGGTTCAGGGTTTAAAGGTTTTTGGGTTCAGGGTTTGAGGGCTTTGGGTTCAGGGTTTGAGGGTTATGGGTTCAGGGTTTGAGGGTTTTTGGGTGCAGGGTTTGAGGGCTTTGGGTTCAGGGTTTGAAGGTCTTCGGTTGAAGGTTTGAGGGTTTTGGGTTCACAGTTTGAGGTCTTAGGGGTTCAGGGTTTTAGGTTGGCTTTGGATTTCTCTGCAACACCACTGCATGGCAATAGAATTCGAATTTAACTCACGCGTGCTAAGTACTGTATGGCAATATAATTCGAATTTAATCCCCGCGCGCTAATGACTGTATGGCAATATAATTCGAATTTAATCCCCACGCGCTAATGACTGTATGGCAATATAATTCGAATTCAATCCATAATTCCGAAAGAGAATTAAATTCAAATACAGAATTAAACCTGCCTGGCAGGGCTTAAATTCGAATTTAAAGCCAAGTCTTCACGATAAGGATTAAATTCAAATGTAACCCACTCAACACGGAGCCCTGGTCCTCGCAGGGGCTTAAATTCGAATTAAATTCAGAAGCCATTGGAGGATTAAATTCGAATTTAAACCCCCTCGACGGGCAGATGGATGGCCGCTGAAGCAGGTCTGAAATTCGAATTTAATTTTTATTGAATCTGAAATTCAACCTTATTCGGGTTTAGGGTTTAGGGCTTCGGGTTTCGGGTTTAGGGTTTAGAGAGTCTGGGGGGTTATGATAGAATAATTGCATAGGTACCATAACGGAATGGGCTTAGGGTTTAGGGGTTAGGGTCTAGGGTTCCGGGTTTCGGGTTTCGGGTTTAGGGGCTTAGGGTTCAGGATTTAGGGGCTTAGGGTTTAGGGCCTGTTGAGGGTTGAGGATTTAGGGTGTAGGGCTGAGGGTATGGGCTTTTGGGGTAGAGGTCCCAAAGCAGGGCCCATCATGTTCATGATTTCCAAGGTGCTTGTAGGGTTTGGGCTATCAGGGTGGGCTTGAGGTTAGGGTTTATGGATTAAGGTTTAGGGTTTAGGGTAGCGGGTTTAGGGTTTAGGGTCTACGCTTTTTCCACTGGGTCGCGCCGCGCCCCTCTCAAGCCTCTGAGAAGCTTTGCTGGCCCAAAGCTACACAGGCCGTGCAATGCCGTGTTCGCTACCTGCACGAAACCTAAACCCCAAACCCTAAACCCTAAACCCTAAAACACCCTAAACCCTAAACCCTAAACCCCAACCCCTTATTCTACTGGGGGCTCTCAGTCAAGCTGGATCTCGGCGAAGGTGGCCCCAGAGAGGATGGCCTTGGCCTTCTTCACCTTGGGTTTAGGGTTTAGGGTTTAGGGTTTAGGGTTTAGGGTTTAGGGTTTAGGGTTTAGGGTTTAGGGTTCGGGGTTTAGGGTTGAGGGTTCAGGGTTTGGGGTTTAGGGTTTGGGGTTTAGGGTCGGCGGATGTTGAGGGTTTCGAGGTGAGGGCTTAGGGTCGATGGATGTTGAGGGTTTAGGGGTGAGGGCTTAGGGTCGAGGGATGTTGAGGGCTTAGGGTTTAGGGTCGACCGATGTTCAGGGTTTAGGGTCTAGGGTTGAGGGTTTAGGGCTTAGCGTTGAGGGTTTAGGGTTCAGGGTTTCAGGTTACATAGTTTAGGGGCGCTTGAGGTTCGTTTGTCAGGAGGTCGGTGGGGAGGAGGATCTGCACATGTGCTGACTAGAGAAGAGAAGCCCCCTCCAAATGAGGCGTGACTGTAGTCGCTCGGGAGCCCCTCATAGTATGAAACAGTAGGCGTTCGGTGGCGGGGATGTCCAAAAGACTCAAGATATAAATTCTAAGCATCGGGTTCTTTGAACCCTAAACCCTAAACCCTAAACCCTAAACCCTAAACCCTAAACCCTAAACCCTGAACCTAGAAAGCCCGAAACGCAGCTGGGCGACCGAGTCCATCTCGTCCTCGCGCGCTGCCTGGCGGGCGTCGAAATTCTCGAGGAGGAAGTCGCAGCTCTCGTGGAGATCGGACTTCCTGGAAAGGGAACGAAGCAGGGTTTAGGGTTTAGGGTTTAGGGTTTAGGGTTTTGGGGAGTTCTCTGATAGGCAACCTAGCCTCCTTTAAATCTTCTGAAATAATGCAGAAGATGACCCTCTCAAGCCCATTAGAGAACAGGGCTGATAACACATCATATATCCCAAGGGCCTGCCTGTAGACCCTATACACCCGAAACCCCGAAACCCCGAAACCCCCTAAACCCCCGAAACCCCCTAAACCCCCTAAATCCCCGAAACCCCCTAAACCTCCTAAACCCTAAACCCTAAAACCGACGGCACTAGGCCTTGGGGGTTAGAAGCTGGAGGCCTAAGCTCGAAACCTTGTTTTGGCTCCAGGCCGACCCCATAACCCCTACATTACCTTCTAGGGTTCCTTGAACCCCATCCCACAAGCCCTACCTTGGAGGTTTAGGGTTTCGGGGTTTAAGGCAGCAAGCCCTCAAGACACGAAGAAACCCACGAACTTCCTGAACGCCTCTGGCTTCAGGGCCGAGGGCAGAAGGCTTCAGGCTCCAGGGCTTCGGGCCCAGGGAGTTCATAAACCCTAAACCCCAAAACCCGAAAACGCTACAACCCTAAACCTCCCCAAACCCTAAACCCCAAACCCCAAACCCTAAACCCTGACACCCTGACACCCTAAACCCTGAAATCCCAAACCCCAAACCCTGAAACCCTAAGCCCCAAACCCTGAAGCCATGAAACCCTAAACCAAAAAAAACCCTGAAAGCCTAAACCCCAAACCCGAGACCCTGAAACCCCAAACCCTAAACCCTAAACCCTAAACCCTAAACCCTAAACCCTCTACACCGAAACCCCTCAGACTGAAGGAGAACGATCTCGCCCAAGGCTCGTCTGCACGAGGCTGTCCAGGGATTTCTCGGCCCCCTTCCGGGCCTTTGAGGGCTTGGTGGCCCTAAACCCTAAACCCGAAACCCTAAACCCTAAACCCTAAACCCTGAACCCTGAACCCTAAGCCCTAAACTTTCTTGGATTTGGGGTTCAGGTTTGCGGAGTACAGTCTTGGGGGTGTGGGGCTTAGGCTCTTGGGCGGAAAGCTTGGGGTGTGGGAGTAGGGTTTACTCCAAATTGGGGCCTGTTGTTGTGGGACCATTTAGGAGCCTTAACCCCATCAAGCCCGATCAAGCCCGATGAATCCCGATAAGACCCTACTAAACCTATTCAAACCTACTAACACCTACTAAAACGCTACAAAAACCCCGGAAATAGTGCTAAAAAAAACCATAAAGGCCCTCTAAAAAGCCCTAATAAAACCCTAATATCAGCCCTTATGAGCCTTCCGAAAAGCCCTCTAGAACCCCAATAAGCCCTATTTAAAAACCTACTAAACCCTGCTAAACCTCTTTAAAACCCTATGCTAAACCCTAAGCCCTGTAGAAGCCCCCCAAAAAACCCTAATAAGCCAACAAAAAACCCTAAACAGCCCTACCAAACCCTATTCCCTATTAAACGCCCTGTAAAAGCCCTATTCAGACCCTGCATGCCCCTAGGAGCCTTCCGGGTCTGGCTGAGGGTCTTCGTCAGCTTCGCCTCGCGAGGCAGCCCAGGCTTCCGGGAGTGGGGATGTAGGTTGGTCTAGGGTTTAGGGTTTAGGGTTTAGGGTTTAGGGTCTAGGGTCTAGGGTTTAGGGTTTAGGGTTTAGGGTTTAGGGTTTGGGGTTTGGGGTTTGGGGTTTGGGGTTTAGGGTTTAGGGTTTGGGTTTATTTCATGCTTTGCACTTTAAAGCGGAGAGGGAAGGAGGAAGAACAGCAACTGAGCAGCGCCCCAGGGGCTTCCTTTCATCAAAAGCCATAAACCTTGGGATGTTGCCCCCTATACTAACAGTCCTTCATGGGGACTATAGTATCCCACTTATAATCCCAAATTAAGGACTGGTAGTACAAGGGGGAACGTGACAATACAAACCTCTAATGCCCGTTCTTGGAAAGATTCCGTGCCTTCTCAGCCTTCTTGCTGGCAATGGCAGCCTCCTTGGCCAGTTTAGGGTTTAGGGTTTAGGGTTCAGGGTTTAGGGCTTTGGGCTTCGGGTTTAGGGTTGAGTAGGGTTGAGGGTTTAGGGTTTAGGGGGTAGTTGAGACCATTTTTCCGACCCCTATAGTAGCGTTGCATGTGCAGTGCGTAGGGGAGATTGCACGAGGGCCCTATATCCTAAACCCTAAACCCTAAAAACCTAAACCCTAAACCCTAGCCCTAAACCCTAAACCAGCAGGAGCCCGGTGAAGCTTGTGAAGTCGGATATGAACCAAAAAGCGGTTCACACAGTCAAGCTGCGCACCCCAAGAGCCAGAAACTAGGCTCTATACCTAAAGCCCTAAAACCCTAAAAGGCCAACACCCTAAACCCTAAACCCTAAACCCCAAACCCTAAACCCTAAACCCTACCCTTACAGTGTTCCTCTAGACCCGGACTTAGTCAGAATATGACCCATGCATTCGAAACATGCACTGGCAGCGAGATGAAGAGCCCTCTCCAGCCCTGTCCTTCTTGGAAACCGAGTCGGTGGTGTCGGCTGCAAAGCCCTCGTATGCCGTCTGTGCGCTCTTCTCCTTGCGGACCGCGTATTTAAGGGTGCAGGGCTTGGGGTTTAGGGTTTGGGGCTTCGGGTCTTTAGGGTTTAGAGATTAGGGTTAAGGGTGTTTTAACACTAAACCTCGAAACCCAAACCCCTAAACCCTAAACCTCGAAACCCCAAACCCTAAACCCTAAACCCTTTGGGAAGGCAAAGACTGATTTCTGCTGCTCAAGGGGCTGCCCGGATGGCCTCCTTCTCCATGGCCGCCGAGTCGTCGATGAGCGTCTGGAGCATCGTCATGACACCAAAGCCTTGGCTTCTTTGGGGAGGGGGGTTGGGGGGGGGGGTTGGGGGGGGTTGGGGGCGGGGGTTGGGGTGGTTGGGGGGTGGGGTTGTTGGGGGGGGGGGAGGGGGTTGTGGGGGTCGGGGGGGGGGGGTTTTGGGGGGGGGGGGGGGGGGGGGGGGGGTTTGGGGGGGGTGTTAGGGGGAGGGTTTGTGGGGGGTGGGGGGAACCAGGGGCGGTCGGGCTTTTTTGGGGGAACCCCAGATCGAGGCGCGGAACAGCGTTGCCGAGTCCCACCCTCGGCCCTGGGCCCGAGGCCCTTAACGCGAGTTGCTGGCGATCACGCAGGGCATCGGAACCAGCTGGGGATATGTTGTAGAGCATCAGCGGCTCTCTGAATAACCACATAAACAGTATCAGTCGTTTGCAACATATAAACCTTTGAAAAAACCAAGCAAAGAAGCATTGAAGCAGCTATCGAATTACAATGCTTAAAGTAGCTTAGTTCAAAGAGTGAAAGATACGAGGTTTAAATACAAAACTATTGCAAACTAGACTATAGCAAAGAAAATTGTATTGAATTATGTAAGCACTAAACTCAAGCAATGAAAGCAAGCAAAAAACACACAAAGAATACTAAGACTTCTGAACATGCTACAAATAATGAAAAATCACAAAGAATACTAAGACTTCTGCACATACTACAAATCATGAAGCTACGGCTAAACCGCCGCCCCGCGGCTCTTGCCGTTGCTCTTGTAGTCCTCGAAGCCACCCGGTGTCTCGGGGCCAGCCTTGAGGTTTGGGGTTTGGGGTTTATATGGGGCTTATGGCTTAGGGCTTCGGGGTTATGTAGGGTTATATTGGGTTTAGGGTTTATATAGGGCCTAGGGCTTAGGGTTGGGGGTTTAGGGTTTCGGGTTTGGGGGCTCGCTTTTTCAAAACTCGCAGACCCCCCTACACCCTAAACCATGGAAATCCCTCAGCCTCTAAGGCCCCAAACCATATGGCCTCTTTGTTGTTGTAACTTAAGTTTAGCTCCCCAAGCCCTAAACCCTAAACCCTAAACCCTAAACTGCTTGACGGTCGCCCAATTTCGGTGCCTCCTTTCGAGGCCCTTTCACGGGGCCTTCTTTGAGGAGGCTTTGGGGGGCTTGAAGTGGCTGAGGAGTTGGGATGTACAGGGTTTACAGTTTAGGGTTTAGGGCTAGGGTTTAGGGGTTTCGGGTTCAGGGTTCAGGGTTGAAGGGCTTAGGGTAGTGTCCAGGCTGCAGGTGGACTAAACTTTAGAACTCAAGAGGGTTGTAGGGGGGCCGAAGGTCCCGAAACCTCTAAACCTCAAACCCTAAAGAGCCCTAAACTCTGACTGTAGGCAGGGTTTAGGGCTTAGGGCTTAGGGTTTAAGGGGTTTAGGGTTATCAGGGTTTAGGGTTTAGGATTTAGGGTTGTATAAAGTCAGGGTTTAGGGGGTAGGGGTTCTTGGTTTAGCGGTACAAAGGGGTTTCAGGTCTTTCAGGTTTAAACAGAGTCTGGAAATGGTGGGCTTGAGGGTCTCAAAGGGCCTCGGCGTGGACTTGGACCAACGACTCCTTGTTGTAGAACTTTCCAAGCACCTCCAACGCCTCCTGTCGGCTGTGCGAGAAGCGCAGGGTGGGGATTCCCCTGAGAGCATCTTAGAGCAGCAGTTAGAATATGATTGTGAATATTCCCTGGTCCCTTGAGTATGAAAGAGCAAACTAGAACCCGTACCCTGTGAGCCCTACAAGCCCTAAGCCCTGAACCCTAAAGGGCCGCTCTGCAAACGGGATGCTGACCCCAAACCCCAAACCCCAAACCCCAAACCCCAAACCCCAAACCCTCAAACCCCAAACCCTAAACCCGAAACCCCCCAAACCTTAAGCGCTCTCAACTTGGGAAGGCTTTTTGTGTAGCCTTTACATACCCTGGCGCTCCTTGAGGAGCCTCTGCGTCTCGCGCTGCTCCTCGATGACCTCGCGACTGCGGCTTAGGGGGGTTTAGGGTTTAGGGCTAGGGTTTAGGGTTTCGGGCTAGGGTTTAGGGATTAGGGCTAGGGTTTAGGCACTGTCCCCCCCCCCCCACCTGTTCTTCCCCAAAGACACAGAAACATTCCGCGGCCAGGCCCCAAGGGCCCCCAACTCCACCTCAGCTGCTCAGTTCGCGCCTTCTGAAACTGGGTGTTCTCCTTCTCGCGGTTCTGGCCTCAGGGCCGTTCAGGGTTTAGGGTTTAGGGTTTGGGGTTTGGGGTTTGGGGTTTGGGGTTTAGGGGCAGAGCATGGTTTCTTGAAGAGTTCGGGATTGGGGTTCATATATATATATATATATAAGAAGAATTCAACAGACACCAAACCGATACCCCTTAACTAAATGGAGAATTTAAGGAAGGTTTTTACCATACCTGAATTTACTGTAAGGAGTATGTGCCAGGGGGATGTTGAATATTTCTTAGATCATAGGGTTCAGGGCGCATAAGTTCCAGAGAACCACCCGAACTCTGAGCTTCGGGTCTTAGAGGCACCCCATGCCCCCAAGTCCTAAACCCATCGGGTGGTGTTCCCAAGGTGTGGGGGGGGGGGGGTGGGGGGGGGGGGAGGTGAGGGGGGGGGGAGGGGAAGGGAGGGGGGGGGGGGAGGGGGGGGGGGCTGGGGGGGGGGGAGGGGGGGGCGGGGGGGAGAGGGCGGGGGGGGTGGGGTGGGGTGGAAGGGGGCGGGGGTGGGGGGGAGGGGGGGGAGGGGGGGGGGAGAGGGGGGGGGGGGGGGGGGGAGGAGGGGGGGGGGAAGGAGGGCGGGGGGGTAGGGAAAGGGGGGGGGGGGGAGGGGGGGGAGGGGGGGGGGGAGGGGCGGGAGGGGGGGTAGGGGGGGGGAGGAGGGGGGGGGGACTGTGAGGGTGGGGCGGTGAGGGTGGGGAGGGGGGGGGGGAGGCACACTCCCGGCAACCCAAACTCCGCTAATCACGAAGCGTCAAACCTGCATGGGTGCATGTAGGTCTTAACATAACCATATAACACAACATGTATCGCACATCACATCAAATAGGCTTTAAAAAATGACATCAATAAGAGATATCAGAATTTTATTACATATATACATATATATATATATATGTATAGATATGTCTGTGTGTTTATATGGGTCAGAGTAGATATGTCTGTGTGTTTATATGGGTCAGAGCTTAAGCCTAGAAGCCATTGACAGCCACAGCCGAAGAGAACTCAGAGTCAGCCGCCGCCACTTCCAAACCCAACAACCCTCTGAACTTCGAAGCCCTCTGAAGGCTAACCCTAAACCCTAAACCCTAAACCCTAAACCCCATCAGCCCTGAAACAACCCTCTCTTCAACCCGGCGGCCCGCGAGCAGCAGCTGTTTCTGCATCTCGGCCACCTCGCCCTCGTAGGTCTCCTCGTGTGGAGAGGGAGGCAGGGCCTAGTAGGGGAAGTGTAGTGTAGGGTTTGGTAAGGGGGTTTGGGGTTTAGGGTTTAGGGTTGAGGGTTTAGGGTTTAGGGTCTAATTAGGGGTCAGGGTTTAGGGTTTGAGGTTGAGTAATTCAGAATGTATGCCTTAGGGGGCTTCAGGATTCCTCCAGGAGCCCTGAATCCCGAAGCCTGAAAAGCCTGAAATCCGCCCGGCGCGCGAACATCGGAGGTCTCCTGCTCGGTCTTGGGAGTCTCGATGTCGATGGCATTCTCCTGCTGATTCGATGCCCAGCACGAGGTTCATGGGTAGATAGAAGTAGAATGTTCTACTTGCCCAACTTCTAATCCCAGTCCCACCTACGGAGGGTCCTGGCATTCATGGGTAGTTGGATACAAACAGGGCGGAGGTACTGTCTACAACTACCTGGCTATCAGGGGCCCGCTAGGCCTGCGGTTGGGGTTTAGGCCGGCTTATGGTCTGCGTTACATGCTGGCGTTTGAAGAGTGAAGGTCCCAAGCAAGAACCTTAGACCCTGACCCAATCCCGGCCCGGTCCTTGGCCACCAGCGTGTCTTTCAAGCGCGTCTTGTCTTCCGTCTTCAGCTTGTTCTCCCGGAACTCCTCCACACCTCGGGGATAGGACGGCTACATGGAGGAAGTTGAGGTTTTTACCCGTGTTCGGGCTGCTTCTAGACTTGGGCTCCGTTTGTGGAGGGTCCCTTTTCCTTTTACTTCTGGGGCTAAAGGTTACCTACAAGCCGACCCTGTTAGGTCTGCTTCCCTTCTTCTTTCTTGCCTGCATTGCTTTCAGAAAGCTTCAGAAGGAAATTCTCTGGGTCCACTTCTTCCGTTGGGCTTCCCTAAACTCAGGGCCCAGGCCGCCAGCCTACAGAGGGGGGGCGGCGCTTAAGCCCTTTCGACCTCTATGGCGAAAGTCGACCCAGGTCGCTTGCCCGCCTCCTGCCGCTCGGAGGTCGGTAGCGCCCGTGATGGGCCCTGTACAGCTTTCAAGGAACCTTGGGGGGGGGTACCCCAGGACCAGGGGCCTCAGGCTGGTCCCCCCACCCGTCCTGCCCTCTCTGCCTCAAACCCTCTTGTACCTCTCCTTGTCTCTGCAGCTGCAACCCGTGCTACAAACGAGCCGGGACAGCCTCAAACCTTTCCCTTAGCTGAGTGGCCATCGGTGACGGAAAGGCTTTTTTGGAAAGTAAGCGATTGTCATGAGTTTAGGCCTAAACCCTAAAAGGAAAAGGTTTGGGTGGTTTTGCCGCCTCGGACGGCGTGGGGTGGGAGAAAAGTATTAGATGGCCCTCCACAATCGGGCCAGAGCTGCTCTTCGCACCTGACGAAGCATTCGAGCCGCTGCTGCATCCTAACCTTCTCAGCATCTACGCCCATTTGCAGCAAACCCTAAACCCTAAACCGTAAACCCTCTCTGTGTAGCCGTGGAGCAGAAGTCCTTCTGCTTCACCTCGTCCTCCTGCTCCTTCTGGAGGGCAAACCTGGTCAGGGTCCGCCCATAGAGGGGTGCGAAGATCAAAGATGTTTCAAGGGTTTAGGGCTTAGGGTTCAGGGTGTAGAGGGTTCAGGGTTCTTTTGTGGGTGTAGGGTTGGCTCTTCTAATGAGGGTTTAGGGTTTAGGGGGTGCAGGGCTACAGCTGGCTTCGAGGGTCGAGGGTTCCAGTGTTTGGGGATTCTCAAGTGTGCACCGCAGCGCAAGCTTGAGGAGCATATTAAGTTTAGGGTTTTAGGGTTTACAGGCTTTAGGACATCTTGAACCAAGGCACACCATGTCATCCATGGCTTTCTTCACCTTCACGAACTTGTCCAGCTTCATCTGCGCAAGCATCCCGGGAAACGCACGCGAGATCCCCTCAATTTCAAAAGCCGTTTAGGGTTTAGGGTTTAGGGTTTAGGGTTTAGGGTTTAGGGTTTAGGGTTTAGGTTTACGTACGTGAGGCACTTAGGCGTCCTCGAACTGTCTTGGGATGTTCCCCCTTACGCTAACAGTCCTTAGTAGGGATTATCGTACCCCCCCCCCATTACAATCCCTATTAATAAGGAGTGTTAGTATAAGGAGGAACATCCCAAGCTATGTCCCACAACGCCCAAGCCCTAAACCCTAAATAACCCTGAACCCGAAACCCTAATCCCTAAACCCGAACTGCGCGACTGCCAGTTCGAGGGTCGGCTTGCCCTGCACCTTAAACCAGGCTTTAGGGTTCATGGGGTTTAGGGTTGAAGTTTCGGGTTCCGGGTGTAGGGTTTTTCAAGGGTGCCCCTTCTGGTTTAAAGTTTAGACGGGTTTATAAAGGCGCCTAAGCCCCACAAAACGGGAAGAGGGGCCTACTCTGGGTCTTTAAAGCCTTGACAAAAAACGCTTGTTCGCTGTTGATATTAACCCTAAACCCTACTAAACCCCAAACCCTAAAGACTCTCTTCCCCAGGAGCTTAAAGAAACCCAAAAAAAGTGCCACGCGGATGCTGCGGAGATTTAGACTGGTCAAGGCTGCATTGAGGTTTACATACTTTAGAGCTTACTTGGAGTTTAGGGTCAACTTGTAGGATCTCTAAGTCTCTAAGGGAGGGCGCCACCCACAGCCCTGAACTACTGAACCCAGTGAGATCCTTCGGGAAGCTTACAGGGACTGGGGAGTTTTTGGGTGTAGGGTTTAGAGTTCAGGGACCACTAAGTTTAGGTTTAGGGGTTTCGGGTTTAGGGCCTGAAGGACCCAATGAGTAGAATTCGAGGCTTGAGCAGGCGAGTTCAAGATTTCGGGCTCAAGGTCCGAGAATGCCCATGTTTGAACCCTAAACTCTGAACACCCAAAGCGAATGATGCGATATAGGGGTCGGAATAAGTACTAACAGTTGTCCCTTATGGTTCCTTTATAATTATCAGCCTATACTAAGTATTGAGGCCCCTATAGTCAGACTCGCAGCTCGTGTCTACGAGGTAGGCGCAGTACCTATGGACAACCAGGCCACCATCCATGCACAGCAGAAGGCCACTGGCGCATGAACACTGGGCCCATGTCCTTTATGGCCTTATCAAGTCGAAGTGTCACTTGCCGCGGCTGGCACCATGGCTGCTTTAAACTCGGCCCCAGGGTCAGTGGTCATCGAGATGACCCTCGCGCCGTAAGCTCTGAGGTTGACAGCTTCCAAGTCAAGGCTGCTAAGCAGGGACTCCACTTTGAAGGTGAATGAAGCTACCCCCGTGGCCCAGCACCATGATGGGCTTGACTCTCCTGAGAATGAGGTCTTGGATCCCCTCTCGTGACTCTGTGGGCTTCAGGGAACTTCAGGGTCTGCGTTTAAAAAATTCCGGGCTTGGGACTTCGCAAGGTTTAGGGTCTAGGGTCTAGGGTCTCAAGGGCTTCATTAGGATTCAAATAGGGTTTAGGGTTTAGGGTTTAGGGTCAGGGTTTAGGGCTTTTAGGGTTTAGGGTTCAGGGTTTAGGGTTTAGGGTTGAGGGTTTAGGGTTTAGGTTTAGGGTTTAGGGTTTAGGGTTTAAAGGTTTAGGGTTTGGGTTTAGGGTTTAGGGTTTAGGGTTTGGGTTTAGGCTTTAGGGTTTATAGGGTTTAGGGTTTTTAGGGTTTAGAGTTTAGGGTTTAGGGTTTAGGGTTCCTTGGTTTTCAACCCTGAATCCGACCACGCACTTGCTGCCTGCGTCGCCAGGGCCGCCATACGTGGATCCTTGCGGCCAGCCGCAGCCAGGACCTGGACACCCTAAACCCTAAACCCTAAACCCTGAACCCTAAACCCTAAACCCCAAAGGGCCCCCCAGGGCCCTCTTGAAGAAAACGCTTCTTCAGGAGGGGAGGAGACCTTCAAGGGACGTCACGGCAAGGCCACTGCAATCACCGTCAAAACTCATTGACACATCTCCGAAGACAGCTTAAACCTGCCAAATTGCGTAGGGTTTAGAGGGTTTAGGGTTTATACTGACGAAGCTCAATTTTTAAGAGTGCAGACCCTAAAGCCTAATCCCAAACTCCAAAGCCTAATCACGCTGCAACACCTAAACCCTACGTACTACAAGGAAGCCGAAATGAATGCCAATATGCTCCTTCTTGTGCTAGTCATCCGAATTGATTAGACAGGCACCCCCTTGGGTTCCCCCGATAACTAAGGCTATCTCGGGACGACTTAAGCCTCATTAAGGTTATTTAAGGGGGAAATCTAGGGGGAGTAGCCCTAAACCCTAAACCCTAAACCCTAAACCCTAAACCCTAAACCTTAGGGGGGGGTAGGGGATGGAGGGCGGAGCCAACGCCGGACTGAAGCCCTCGAATTCGCAGCCTCTGCAGCCCTTGAGGCGCGATCGTTGACAGCGGATTCCTCTGGACGGACTGCACGGTTCGCTGGCGTGGAGTAGTTGATAGGGTTTAGGTTTTAAGCAACCAGCAAGGTACATCCTGAACCCTAAACCCGAAAAAATGTCATCTGGAGGTGGTGTGTGTTGTGGTTCCAGGCTTTAGGGGCTTGTGTCTTAAGGGCTTTTGCTTTTTGGGGTTTGGGGTTTACGGCTCAAGGGTTCAGCGGTTCGGAGTCTACGGTTTTGATCTTGAATCCAACACCCTATACCCTAAACCCCCTAAACCCTAAGCCGTAAACCCTAAGCCCTAAACCCCCTAAACCCTAAACCCTACGCCCTAAACCCTAGACCCTAAACCCTAGACCCTAAACCCTAAACCCCCTAAACCCTAATGCCCTAAACCCTAAGCCCTAAACCCTAAACCCTCAACCCTAAACCTATACAGGCTTCGCGGGGGCGCCTGGAGGAAGGAGGTCGCGAAGGACTTCTCGAAGTTGGCGTGCGCCTCTGGAGATGGCCCAGAACCCCGGGGGAGTCGGCCCGTTCAGGGTTTAGGGTTTAGGGTTTAGGGTTTAGGGTTTAGGCTTTAGGGTTTAGGATTTAGGGCGTTTCGTGTTTAGGGTTCAGGCTGGGGGTTTAGGGGTTGGGGGTTTAGGGGTTTAGGGTTTGAGTTTAAGGCTCCTATCTCCCCTTCCCCCTTCTGCTGATATCTAATCCCCAATAAGACTTGTTGATCCCCACAAAGTCCGAGAAGCCCCAGAAGCCCGAACAAACACCCAAAAGCCCCATAAGCCCCCAAGCCACCTAGGAAAACAAAGGGTTTAGGCTTCAGGCCTAAACTAACGAGGAGCCTCACACCTGTAGAAGGAAAAGAAAGGGCCGACGGGGAGGTCTAGAGGAATTCTCAACGCGGGGTTTCACTTTGTACTTGCGGGGTGCACTATCACCCTAACCCCCGAACCCTGAACCCTAAACCCTAAACCCTGAAGCCTAAACCCTAAAGCCTAAACCCTGAACGCTGAACCCTAAACCCTAAACCTTGGCTTCCTTAGAGGGTTGTGGTTTGGGGAATGGTCTGGTGTTAGTTGCACTTAGGGGTTTGCCAGTCGTATGAGATGCCAGCGGCATGGGAAACGTCGGATGTACAGGGAGAGATTGGATTCCGCACCTACAGTCAACCATGAGGCGAAGACCACTTCTTGTGCTGCTGCGCGCAAGTTCGAGGACAAAGCTCTGACCAGCCTAAACCCTAAACCCCAAGCCCTAAGCCCGAAACCCTAAACCCTAAACCCCAGGCCCTAAACCCTAAACCCCCAAAAGTAGGCACCTCATCCGCGTCCAAGATCTCAATCGCCTTGGAGATCGCCTGCGATTCCTGGGGCAAGGAGACGCCCCTAAAGCGTGTAGAGTTTAGGGTTTAGGGTTTAGGGTTTAGGGTTTAGGGTTTAGGGTTTAGGGTTAGGGTTTAGGGTTTAGGGTCTGAATTAGGATGTGCAGCGCACTGACATTGGTACGTAGAAGCGGAATGGAGAGCCCAACCAGGAAAGCACTCTACCTAGTTCCAGATTCAACCATCCAGGGAGGGGGTTAGGGTTTAGGGGTTTAGGGGTTTAGGGGTTTTGGGGTTTTTGGGGTTTTTGGGTTACGGGTTTAGGAGTTTAGGAGTTTAGGGGTTTAGGGTTTAGGGTTTGGGGTTTAGAGTTTAGGGTGCTAAGCCCCCAGACCTCGAAACGCCCTGGCTAGACAAGAACCCCAGATTCAAGAACACCGAAAAGAGCAGCGCTAATTCACAGAACCTCCTCCACCTCCTCCCAACCCCAGTCCACCGCTCCACCACCCCAAGCTCTGCACCCTAACCCCTAAGCTAAACCCTAAACCCTCAGCCCCAAACCCGAGGCCCTAAACCCCCAACCCTAAGCCCTAAGCCCCCAAACACCCGATGCCTAAACCCAAACCCTTAACCCTAAGCCCTAAAGCCCCAAAGCCCCAAAGCAAACCCCAAACACCCGATGCCGAGTTACCTCGCCGCGCGTCTTCTGTCGCTCATCCCACTGGGCGTCCATTTCGGCGCACTGCTTCTTGACCTGCAGGCTGATTGTTTTCTGCTAAGCCACAAAATCCCTCAAAACCCTCAAGACCAAAAAAAACACACACAAACCTGGAAACCCTGTAGACTTTGATGAAGCTGGCCAACAACATCCTAAACTGCGCCGAGCTGATTTCAAGTTCCGAGTTTGATTTAGGGTCTAGGGTTTAGTAAAGCCTTGGGTTCAACACTCTACAGACTGTTAGGGTTCAGGGTTTAGGGTTCAGGGCTTCTTGAAACCCACAACCCGAAACTGTCACAAAACAAGAAACCCCAATGCCAAATCCCCCCCTTCCCTGGATATGCTTCGGAAATCCTTAAGCCCGACACGAAGGTTCGTGAGTCTTGTTGAAAAGTAGTTGTAGAATATACTTGCCCCCCCCCCCAAAAAAAAAAAAAACGGTTACCCTTGAACCCCCTAACTCCTAAGCCAAACTCCCAAAACTCTAAGCCACTCCAGTGTTTTTAGGGTTCCGGGTCAGGGTTTAGGGTTCAGATTTACGCCAAACCCTAAACCCTAAACCCTAGACCCTAAACCCTAAACCCTAAACCGAAAGCCCCCTAAAGCCTCGCCGACGAAAGACAGGTCGGACCCGAAGATGCCTTCGGTGTCCTTGATCTCCTGCCTGCATTCTTCAGGGTTAAAGGCTTAGGGTTTAGGGTTTAGGGTTTAGGGTTTTAGGGTTTTAGGGTTTAGGGGTTTAGGGGTTTAGGGGTTTAGGGGTTTAGGGGTTTAGGGGTTTAGGGTTAAGGGTTAAGGGTTAAGGGTTAAGGGTTTAGGGTTTAGGGTTTAGGGTTTAGGGTTTAGGGTTTAGGGTTTAGGGTTTGGAGCTCTGAGAAACTAGACATTGAAGGATCTCCTGCTTTGCATTCTCTACATGATGCAGGGGTTTTCAGGGTCAGTGTCAGGGGATTTAAAGGTTTGAACAGATTATGCACGGCTTAGAGCCCTAAACCCCTAAAACCTAAACCCAATCCTAAACCCTAAGCCCTAAACCCTAAACCCTAAACCCTAAACCCTAAACCCTTTAAAGGTTGTTAATCGGATGCTCAGGCTTTAGGATTTAAGGGCCCACTGTTGAGGACTCTCAAGGCCTGGGCTGAGCACAACTTCAGGAAGAGGTTTGTAAGGCTTGGGGGCGATTTTAGGGTTCAGGGTTCAGGGTTCAGGGTTCAGGGTTTAGGGTTTAGGGTTTAGGGTTTAGGGTTCTACTTGAAGGTTCATGGGATTTATAAGTAGGGTTCGAAGTATGGCGTGGCAACTAGAGTTACAATCGTGTTGAGGGTACGATAAGCTCCAAGTGAAGGTTACAGGAGGGCGGAAACTACCCCCACCTGAACTGGGCCTGGAATCCAAATTCTTGCCGAGTCGCTTCTTGATGGCGCGCTCCTGCACTCGTCCCTCAAGAGACTAATGGACGGACCCTTATGAAAGACCTTAGGGGCTGCAAAAGGGCTACTGAGGTACATAGGAACTAGATGAGGTGTATGTAGGGGTTATGTAGGGGAACAAGATTAAGGGTCTCTTCTATTAAGGGCTTTCTTTCGGCCAAGAACTTAGAGCCCTTGGCAGAAGGGTTTTGGCGCTGTGCTTCTCTTCCAGATTCGTCCGAGGGTTTTTTGTAGCGGGTAACTAGGATGCGCTGAAGATCTTCAAAACATGAAACGATCCATATATAAGGTAATTACAACTATAGTGGCCTTGTTTGACTTATTACCTTAAGCTAACCCTTACAAACAAACAAAGAGAGAAAGAACCTTCGGAATCAGACACCCCTTCCCACAACCTATATTCTAAGTAGCCTTAGGCACTAACTCCTAGTTCCTAAGCCCCAAACCCAGAGGCCCTACACCCTAAACCCTAGAACTCTAGGTCCTAAACCCTAAACCCTAAAACCCTAAGTTAAACCCTAAACCCTACACCCTGAACCCTAGAACCCCAAGCCCTAAACATGGCAGCCCTCGACCCAGTCCTCGTTGGTGCTCGCACGCTCCTCCTTCTTGGCCTCGATCTGCGTGGTACCTTGGCTGGTACTTAGGGTTTAGGGTGTAGGGTTTGGGGATTAAGATTCACCCCTAGAGCGCCGGACCTCAGACCAACACTCAAAACCTTGAGCCCACCTGCCAACCCTGACTTCCTCAACCTGCAAACTCATGAAACCGCCGGCCCCTTAGCCTAAACCCCCATAACGGCCACTGAGCCCCTGAAGGCCTCAACCTTGTCAAGCCCTAAGCCATAAACCCTAAAACCTTATGAGGCCCTAACACTTTACGGAAAGCTAAACCCTAAACCCTAAGCCCTAAAACCCTAAAACCCTAAACCCCAAACCCTAAAACCCTAAAACCCCTAACCCTAAACCCTAAAACCCTAAACCCGAAACCCTAAACGCGGGCGAAGTACCAGCCTTGATCTCAGCCGTCTTGGCTGCTGCTAGCTCCTCGTACGACTTCACGGAGGCGACCTTTTGGGGGGACTGACGGAGTCTCCAAGCTTTGGGGTTCTGAAGAAATTTGAGTTTACGGAGGGTTTTGGGTTTAGCGTTTAGGGCTCTGAGGAAATTTGGAGTCTTCAGGGGTTTGGGGCCTAGGCCTCAGGGCATGGTGTTTGGGGTCCCGCGAGGTTTTGAACCTAAGGCAGCCAAGAAGAAAGGAACATGCACCCTTTCACTTACTTAGCCGCTGATTCTGTGGGGGGGGTGGGGGGCCTAAACCCTAAACCCTAAACCCTAAACCCCAAACCCTAAACCCTAAACCCTAAACCCTAAACTCTTACCCTAAACCCGAAACCCTAAGTAGTGCTCCCGGGGATGAATGCCAAGACTCTTAACCCTAAGCCCTATACTGTACTGAGGGTACAGTCAAAGGAGGACCTTTCATTCTTGTACACCTAAACGCTTGACCCTAAACCTTACTGTACTTAGGGTTTAGGGTTTAGGGTTTAGGGTTTAGGGTTTAGGGTTTAGGGTTTAGGGTTTAGGGTTTAGGGTTTAGGGTTTAGGGTTTAGGGTTTAGGGTTTAGGTGCAGTCATGGGAGACCTCCATGTCTTCAGAACCTCCCATGTCTGAGGCCCCCCAGCAAACGTCTGAGCTTAGAGCTAAAGCTGCCCCAGAACTTCCAACAGCCCTCTGGTTCAGGAACATTCCTTACATGAGGTGAAACTCCTACTTCGCAATCCCTAAACCCTAAACTCTAAACCCTAAACCCTAAACCCTAAACCATATCGTTCCAAGACCACCAGCCGGATTGGGACGTTCTAGGTGTCTACGGTCCAAGATATGGCCTCGTCGGCCTCCAGCTGTGTCAGCTCTTGGGAGAAGTCGTCCTACGAAGGGGTTTAGGGTTTAGGGTTTAGGGTTTAGGGTTTAGGGTTTAGGGTTGGGGGTTTAGGGCTTGGGGCTTGGGGTTTGGGGTTTAGGGATTGCATTGGAGTGCCGAAACCCCCTAAACCCCCTAAACCCCCTAAACCCCCCAAACCCCCTAAACCCCCTAAACCCCCTAAACCCCCTAAACCCCCTAAACCCCCTAAACCCCCTAAACCCCCTAAACCCCCTAAACCCCCTAAACCCCCTAAACCCCCTAAACCCCCTAAACCCCCTAAACCCCCTAAACCCCCTAAACCCCCTAAACCCCGTAAACCTCACAACCCTAAACCCTAAACTCTAGAACCCTAAACCCTCAAACCCTAAACCCTAAGGCTTCGGTCCACACTTTCTGGAATCTCAGGCTCCGGAGCGCATGCAGGGTTTAGGGTTTAGGGTTTAGGGTTTGGGGTTTAGGGTTTCGGGTTGCGGGTTTAGGGTTTAGGGTTTGGGGTTTGTGTTTGGGGTTTAGGGTTTAGGGTTACAAGTGCCCGAAATAAGGATATGAGGGTTTCCGAAAATAGGGGTAAGCCTACAAACCCTCAACCCTACTTATTCATACCCATGAACCTCCAAGTAGTGGACCCCGCGCCCTCGTGTCTTCGCGGCAGGCTGGGAGTTGGAGGCTCGAAAGGGTTGAGGGTTGAGGGTTTGGGGTTTAGGGTTGAGGGCGTTCTGGACGAATTTCCTGGTCAACTATTTTCGTGGGGAGGGGATCCCTGAAGCAAGGTGTCGTAGTGCGAGGGGAGTTGCCCAGAGTAGGGAGGGATTAGATGCTTTAGGGTTTAACCTTAAACCCGAAATCCGGAAATTCCCCCCTTTATACCCAGAATCCCCCTTCAATAACGGGCTCCTCGTTTTCGGAAGCCTCCGACCAGTCTCTGGAATTAGTCCAAACCCTAAACCCTAAACCCTAAACCCTAAACCCTAAACCCTAAACCCTAAACCCTAAACCCTAAACCCTAAACCCTACTTGTTGGGAATGCTCCTTCAGGCCGGTGAGGACACCGACGACGCCATCCACGCCATCGCCACGCTGCCTTGGGCTCAGGAGGTCAGCCCACTTGTGGCTTGGGGCCTCATAGGGTTTAGGGTTTAGGGTTTAGGGTTTAGGGTTTAGGGTTTAGGGTTTAGGGTTTAGGGTTTAGGGTTTAGGGTTTAGGGTTCGGGGGAGTCCGCCTTGCGTGTTGCCCTCTGGTTGGCGGGGCACGGGGGGGCGGCGGGGCTACACAGGATGAAACATCTTAGGCACGGGAAACGAAGTGCGGCACAGAAAAACCTAACCGAATTCCAGAGCGGCCCCCTCAGCCCAAAGCCATGGATCAGGGTTTAGGGTTGAGGGGTTTAGGGTGTAGGGGTTTAGGGTTTAGGGTTTAGGGTTTAGGGTTTAGGGTGTAGGGGTTGAGGGTTGAGGGTTGAGGGTTCTCCTACAGACGCTATCCCTAAACCCCACCGTAACACCGATGTGATGCTCTTGGGCCTACTGTCGGGTCCTGAAGGGGGGCGGCATGAGATTCTCTCTCTCTCTGCCTTCAGACGTTTCGTCTAGGTTGCCCAGTAACCTAGGCTTAAAAAGGGTGCCCTTTTTTGCTTAAAGGGGTTTCTAGGGGAACCTAGAGCCCCAAACAAGGGAATAAGGGCACTACTGGGCATCCTAGTCGTGCCTGTGGTGTGAGCGAGCTTCCCAAAGCATCCTGGCCTGCAGGGGTCCTTCCTCCAGCTGCTCTGGCTGCTTGTACCGCGAAGCGAATGTTTGGACGGGCACCAGCTCCAGAAGCTGTAGCTTTGCCACTTGGCCTTCTCCTTGGCGGCAGTGTCCTGATCCATCTCTGAAGAGGTGGAAATGTGCATGGCGAAAAAACAACAGGCAAACCCAAACCCCCGAGCAATGAGATCCACCCCAAGCCCACGAGCATCATGAGCATCAGCTGGTGCTGGCCAAAACTTCGTCAGGAAACTCGAAGCTTCCCGTAATTAATGTGGTAGGGATGTGGCAGTCTGAGTCCATCTACGCATGTTTCTGGACAAGCATCCAACACATTGAGGCTGTGACAGAGCGAAAGGCGACTGACACGGCACGGGAACATGCTTGTAGCCAGCGCGGACTGGCAGAACAAACAGCCTTGCCGTCATGGATGTCCAGGAGAATGTAGCACCAGGACAGCTTTCACAACCATTGAGAGATGCATGCTGGAAGAAATGATGCGCGCTTGATGCGGAAAGACGGCTGTGTGAACCAGTAGTTGCTGCTGTTCTTATGCCAACAGCTATTTATACTTTGATTATTATTATGACTATACATTATAGTAACCAGCAGAAAAAAGCAGTAATAGTAGCAGTACGAATAATCGTCACAATAGTCACCGCTAGTGGGATTCATAGGTATTACTGTTGGGCCTCGTTGCCGTTGCAATATTGCTAAACCTTATTCCTAACATAGTTATTTTGGATAAGAAGATGGCTTCCATTTTCCCACCTCAGAGGTCTGAGGTTGGATACTGTGGGTTTTAGAAGTGGCGGGGAAATCTATGGATTTGAGTACCTTGTTTTCTATGGGATTGCCTATGGTTTCATACTACGAGCATGGGTTCTTCAGGGTCTTAGTATGGGTCTTTTTGGTGGGTTGAATGTTTGAGGTATAGGTTGTTCTGATTTGGGTGCTAGGGGGTGGGACATGGTTGGAAAATGGAAATAGACCCCAAGCCCCCGAGCATCATGAGCATCAGCTGGTGCTGGCCCAAACTTCCAGACCCCACGCCCCCGAGCATCATGAGCATCAGCTGGCGCTGGCCCGGGCTTTCAGATGCAAGCCCCTCGAGCATCATGAGCATCAGCTGGTGCTGGCCCGGGCTTTCAGACCCCAAACCCCCGAGCATCATGAGCATCAGCTGGTGCTGGCCCGGGCTTTCAGATGCAAGCCCCATCAGCTGGTGCTGGCGCGGGCTTTCAAACCCCAAAACCCCGAGCATCATGAGAATCAGCTGGCTTGGCTGGACCTAAATGACCCATCAAGAGTATCACTGCAGCTGGCGCGGGCTTTCAGACCCCAAGCCGGGCTTTCAAACCCCAAACCTCTGAGAAGCATGAGCATCAGCTGGTGCTGGCCCGAGCTTTCAGACCAAACCCCACCCTGAGCATCATGAGCATCAGCTGGAGCTGGCGCGGACTTTCGGGCACAAACCCCTGAGCATGAGCTGGTGCGGGATTTCGTTTAGGGTTTAGGGCTTAGGGCTTGGGGTTATGCTCCCTAAACCCTAAACCCTAAACCCTAAACCCTAAGCCCTAAGCCATCACAGAGGGCTTTTGGGCTTCGCGCTTGGGATTTAGGACCAAAAACAACCTCACAATGGTGGCACCCGAAGCCCTCACCATGTCCGCTCGAGCAGAGGCTGACTTCCTAAGTTTAGGGTTTAGGGTTTAGGGTTTAGGGTTTGGGGTTCGGGTTTAGGGTTTAGGGTTTAAGTGTTTAGGGTTGCGTGAACCCCCTCCAGCTGAAACCCAATTTTCCCCGACCCTCAATACCCAAGAGGCTGGAAAGCCGCCACCCCAACCCTGAAAGTGAAGACCCCCATACTCGACGTGTGAGCCCTAAACCCTAAGCCCTAAACCCTAAACCCTAAACCCCTAAACCCTAAACCCCTAAACCCCTAAACCCTAAACCCTGTCTATATCTTTGGAGGTCAGGGCAGCCAGAGAGTCCTGATTGCACCTTTGCTGAAAAACAATCGAAGAAACTTTCGAATATCTGTGAACCCTAAGCTGTAGGCCCTAAACCCTGAACCCTAAACCCTGAACCCTAAACCCTAAACCCTAAACCCCTAAACCTCTAAGCCCTTAAACCCCTAAACCCCTAAACCCCTAAACCCCTAAACCCCTAAACCCCTAAACCCCTAAACCCCTAAACCCTGAACCCCAAACCCTAAACCCTAAGCCCTAAACCCTAAACCCCTCAACCAGGAACCCGAAGAGAGGCAAGTGGCAGGAAGGACTGAAGTGTCTCACGGTCATCACCTCCAGACAGAAGGCAGCTGAGACTTGGGGGGGGACCTCTAGGGGGTTTAGGGTTTAGGGTTTAGGGTTTAGGGTTTAGGGTTTAGGGTTTAGGGTTTAGGGTTTAGGGTTTAGGGTTTAGGGTCTACGGACCACCGCGGACTTTTTGCAGCTTGGGGTTGATAGGGTTCGGCTGAGCAGCGGTTCGGGTTAAGGGTTTAGGGCTTAGGGTTTAGGGCTGAGAGTTTAGGGTTTAGGGTAAGGGGTTTAGGGTTTAGGGTAAGGGGGTCAGGGTTTAGGGTTTCGGGAACCCCTGACCCTAAGCCAACTAAAGCCGAGTCCTGAAGCCTTGCATGGGGGGTGCACTTGGAGGACTAGGGCTGCTGGGGTTTCATGGTTCTAGCGTTACGTCTTAGGTTTATTCTCAGGATTTAGGGTTTAGGGTTTAGGGTCTAGGGTTTGGGTTTAGGGTTTAGGGTTTAGGGTTCAGGACTGCAGGATTATCGTAGAGGGGGGGGTTTTGGGGTGTTTCCTGCCCTGCGCTGACCAAGGTCCCGGCTGCTCAGCTTGTCATTGTGCCTTCAGGGGCGAAGGAAAGAGCCTAATCTGAACCAACCCTAAACCCTAAACCCTAAACCCTAAACCCTAAACCCTAAACCCTAAACCCTGAACCCTAATTAAGTCCTACATCCTAAACCCTAAACTGAACCCTAAGTTAGGGGATAGGATTAGGGGGACCCTTGGGGATATAGACCCTCTGAATAAGGTCCCTGTTAAGAGAGCCAGAAGAGGGTTAAGCAGGGGTTCCCTTTTAAGGGTCCCCCTTATCCTACCTAGCATAAGCCCTAGATCCTAAACCCTAAACTGAACAGCAAACCTAAATCCTAAACCCTGGGGGCTGCTCCATGATGCTCGGGTCTGAAAGCCCGGGCCAGCACCAGCTGATGCTCATGATGCTCGGGGGTTGGGCGTCTGGAAACCCAGGCCAGCACCCGCTGATGCTCATGATGCTCGGGGGTTTGGGGTCTGAAAGCCCGGGCCAGCACCAGCTAATGCTCATGATGCTCGGGGGTTGGGCGTCTGAAAACCCAGGCCAGCACCCGCTGATGCTCATGATGCTCGGGGGTTTGGGGTCTGAAAGCCCGTGCCAGCACCAGCTGATGCTCATGATGCTCGGGGGTTGGGCGTCTGAAAACCCAGGCCAGCACCCGCTGATGCTCATGATGCTCGGGGGTTTGGGGTCTGAAAGCCCGGGCCAGCACCAGCTGATGCTCATGATGCTCGGGGGTTGGGTGTCTGAAAACCCAGGCCAGCACCCGCTGATGCTCATGATGCTCGGGGGTTTGGGGTCTGAAAGCCCGGGCCAGCACCAGCTGATGCTCATGATGCTCGGGGGTTTGGGGTCTGAAAGCCCGGGCCAGCACCAGCTGATGCTCATGATGCTCGGGGGTTGGGCGTCTGAAAACCCAGGCCAGCACCCGCTGATGCTCATGATGCTCGGGGGTTTGGGGTCTGAAAGCCGGGCCGCCCAGCTGATGCTCATGATGCTCGGGGGCTTGCATCTGAAAGCCCGGGCCAACACCCGCTGATGCTCATGATGCTCGGGGGTTTGGGCGGGCCAGCACCAGCTGATGCTCATGATGCTCGGGGGTTGGGCGTCTGAAAACCCAGGCCAGCACCCGCTGATGCTCATGATGCTCGGGGGTTTGGGGTCTGAAAGCCCGGGCCAGCACCAGCTGATGCTCATGATGCTCGGGGGGTTGGGCGTCTGAAAACCCAGGCCAGCACCCGCTGATGCTCATGATGCTCGGGGGTTTGGGTCCTGAAAGCCCGGGCCAGCACCAGCTGATGCTTATGATGCTCGGGGGTTTGGGGTCTGAAAGCCCGGGCCAGCACCAGCTGATGCTCATATGCTCGGGGTTGGGCGTCTGAAAACCCAGGCCAGCACCCGCTGATGCTCATGATGCTCGGGGGTTTGGGGTCGAAAGCCGGGCCAGCCAGAGATGCTCATGATGTCGGGGGTGGGCGTCCTGAAAACCCCGGCAGCCCGCTCTGATGCTCATGATCTCGGGGGGGGGTTGGCCCGGCCAGCACCAGTCTCATGATCGGGGGTTTGGGGCGTCTGAAGCCAACCCGCTGATGCTCTGATGCTCGGGGGGTTGGGGTCTGAAAGCCCGGGCCAGCACCAGCTGATGCTCGTGATGCTCGGGGGTTTGGGGTCTGAAAGCCCGGGCCAGCACCAGCTGATGCTCATGATGCGCGGGGGCTTGCGTCTGAAAGCCCGGGCCAGCACTAGCTGATGCTCATGACGCTCGGGGGTTTGGGGTCTGAATGCCCGGGCCAGCAACAGCTGATGCTCATGATGTTCAGCGTTTGGGTCTGAAGCACCAGCTGATGCTCATGATGCTCGGGGGCTTGCATCTGAAAGCCCGGGCCAGCACCAGCTGATGCTCATGGTTCGGGGTCTGAAAGCCCGGGCCAGCACCAGCTGATGCTCATGATGCTCGGGGGCTGGGCGTCTGAAAACCCAGGCCAGCACCCGCTGATGCTCATGATGCTCGGGGGTTTGGGGTCTGAAAGCCCGGGCCAGCACCAGCTGATGCTCATGATGCTCGGGGGTTTGGGTCTGAAAGCCCGGGCCAACACCAGCTGATGCTCATGATGCTCGGGGGTTTGGGTCTGAAAGCCCGGGCCAGCACCAGCTGATGCTCATGATGCTCGGGGGTTTGGGGTCTGAAAGCCCGGGCCAGCACCAGCTGATGCTCATGATGCTCGGGGGTTTGGGTCTGAAAGCCCGGCCCAGCACTAGCTGATGCTCATGATGCTCGGGGGTTTGGCTTCTGAAAGCACCGGGGCCAGCA